AAAAGAGTGTTTGTGATGACTAGCTTGTTCTCTTGACAAAACTCTCTTAGCCTTTGCCCTGCTTCATTTTGAGCTCCAAGGCCAAACTTCCCTGTTGTTCCTTTGATCTCTTGACTCCCTACTTTAGCATTCAAGTCCCCTATAATGAGAAGAACATCATTCTTTGGTGTCAGTTCTGGAAGGTGTTGTAAATCTTCATAGATAGAATTGGTCAGTTTCAGCCTCTTCAGCATTGATGGTTGGTGCATAAACTTGGATTACTGTGATGTTGAAAGGTCTGCCTTGGATTCGTACTGAAATCATTCTATCATTTTTTAAATCCCAGTACAGCTTTTCCCACTCTTTTGATGACTATGAGGGCTACTCCATTTCTTCTACAGGATTCTTGCTCACAATAGTAGATATTATAATCTTCTGAATTGAAGTTCTCATTCATTTTAGTTCACTGACACCCAGGATGTCAATGATTATTCTTGCCATCTCCTATTTGACCACATCCAGCTTGCCAAGGTTCACACATCTTACATTCCAGGTTCCTCTGCAGTATTTTTCTTTGCAGCATCAGACTTTCCTTTCACTTCCAGGCGCATCTGCAGCTGAGCATCCTTTCGGCTTTGGCTCAACCCCTTCATTAGCTCTGGAGCTACTTGTACTTGTCCTCTGCTCTTCCTCAGTAGTATGTTGGATGCCTTCTGACTTGAGGGGCTCATCTTCCAGCATCATATCTTTTAGCCTTTTGTTTCTGTTCACTGAGTTTTCTTGGCAAAGATACTGGAGTGGCTTGCCAGTTCCTGCTCCAGGTGGATCGCATTTAGTCAGAACTCTCCAGTACAACCTGTCATCTTGGGTGTCCCTGCACAGCATAGCCCATAGCTTCTCTGAATTACTCAAGTCCCTTTAACACGACAGGGCAACAATCTGTGAAGGGGAATCTAGCTAGACTGGCTTGCAAAGTTGTAAGAGAGCAGAGAATCAAGCTCTTTTATGTTCTCGAAATGCCCATACAGTGGAGCTGTCCAACCTGCAAGTTCTGAAACCACATATTTTCCTTCATTCCACTAGTTTGCAGTTAAGAAGATCTCCCCACAGAGGCAGAGCTTTATTGTCAGTTTCAGTCTAAACTGAAGCACTGCTAGGCTGCAGAGAACTCATCTGCTTTGTTCCACTATTCGTAAAATGACCAGAAGTTTTGGAAAAAACTGAAACCCAGCAACTGCCCAATCAGAAGCTATCTTCACTTGCACTTGCTTTGAGAAGATAAATCCGTCAATTAACCCAAGTTGAGTGGGACAGCTCAGTAAAACAGTTCTACAAAGAAGCTTTACTAGGTTTAGAATCCATCCAAGGAATGACCCAACCCAACACAACTGTGTTAAAACCCACTGTTTTTAATCAGAGACTTCAGCACGTGCTTTGGTCTCTCCTTCTTGAAGCCAGCAGGACACCAAAGCAACTTGCAGAAAAACTTGCATAAGTTGCACTCTTCGTCTGCTTTTCCCCATCTCTGGATTAGCATTCATCAATTGCAGAGAAGGCAAGATAGCAAGGAAGACAAGCAAAGAAGATGGGGGACTTTTGCCATGCTACAATTCAATTTCAGTGTTATGTCCCATCAAAACTGATGGGGTGTACATCTTGATAAATGGTTATAACTTTACTTTGGGGAGCTGTAAAACAGTGGGAAGGTAACGTCATTATCAGGAAAATAAGCTTAGAACTGCAGAGGTGGAAGGGACTTTATGGATCATTTAGTCCACCCCCTGTGAAGGAGGCACAGTGGGGAATTGAACTCCCAACCTCTGCCTTCACAACCAGAGACCTAAACCTCTCTCTCTCTCTGTGTGTGTGTGTGTGTGTGTGTGTGTGTGTGTGTGAGAGAGAGAGAGAGAGAGAGAGAGAGAATGAGAAAGAGAGAATGAGAGAGAGCTAAACCTAGAAGGGGCATATTCTTTTGGACTAGATCACAAAGCCCTCTTCATATACATACACCATGCCCTACGGTGGTTAATCATGCACATACATGAACTGAGGTGAAGGTCTGTTAGCATAACAAGGGTCTGTTACAGGACCCAAGTTCATTCCAAGCTGATGATATCTTGCACTCTGTGTGGCACAAGAAATCTATGCACGCTTGCAGAAGTCACCGTCAGTCAGTTTTAGAGCTGAGTACATAGGCTGCTACCCTGATCTGAGCAGGAGTATTTGGAAGTTTTGGTCTGACGGAACAAGAAGCCTCCTTTCAATACTCATAATGGTTACTTTTCTGGACTACAACCTTTGGGCTTGTAAATTCTGGAAAATGTAGTTCAAAAAGCATTGATCAACTCTGCAGTCCCACCCTCGCCACATAGTATACAGGACTGAACAACAAGCAAAACAACATCAATAGGGTTTCCATGCTTCAATCCCCATTTACACTTTCTAAAAACCATCTAGCCTGATGAAAAGTTTTGGAGAATTCAGAACCTTGCACATTTTGTGAATTTATAGTAGATCTTAATAAAGCTGATTTTCACTTGTAGAGTTTGTTTTAGGAAAGAACTGGCAGTCTGTCTCTCAGTTAGGAAAGAAGAAAAGACCTTGAGGAGGATTTTTTGAGACAGAATCCAGTTTTACGAAGGAGCAGAGGGTGGCTAAAAAATCTCCAGATCATGTACAGAGAAAGAAGAAAAGACCTTGAGGAGGATTTTTGAGACAGAATCCAGTTTTACAAAGGAGCAGAGAACTGTTGGGTGGTTAAAATATCTCCAGATCATGTACAGAATATACCCATCTGAGTACTGACTAGTAGCTGAGTTACCTAAAATTACTCTTTAGAGCCCCCTAAGGCTGCATCCAACAAACACCGTCTTCAGATGTCTTTCAAAGGGAGGAGATAAATGTATATAGCTTCTGTTTCTAGGAACAGGATATCCCTGGTCAGAAGTTGTGAGAAAGTATAATGGGAAGGGCAGGCTGCAGCCTTATCAGCTCTATGGGGCATCTGACTGTCTGCTCTCAGAAGATGAGTTGCTGGACCTTATACATCTTTGCTCTGATTTTCCAGTATTTTTAGAGTTGGGGGAGTCTTCTGGAGCCAAGCATATATCTCTGAGACAGGCTTGGATCAGGGATGCTCCAAAAGGTAACCCAGGGAGGCGCTGTCATCTTTACCACCCCATAAGAAGCCTGAGATGGTTTGAAGTTGAAATCCAAGTATATTTGGGTTGGCTCTCGATTCAGTCCTATGTGGATTGGACCCATGGAAATCAATGAAAGTTAAGTCCATCAAGGCTAACACCAATCTCCCTTGATCTTATGGGTTTGCCTATGATGATATCAATCATCAGATGGGTTTTTTTCCTAGAGTCTTCCCACTTAGCACATTTAGGTCTTTTGCCCTCCCAGTTCCATCTCTTCACGACCTAACTGGGAATCAATCCCTGGTCCCAGAGCATAAGATCTCTCATAGATTTCTCTTGTTTCTCAGTTCCATCGTTGAAAAATCTCATTCCCCAAACCGGGAGGGACAGGGTGCTCCCCCCAAAAGAGACCACACAGAGCCTTTTGAGTGGGTGGGGATGGAGAGGGGGTAGAAACCACCCTTTCCTTCCCCGGCGCGCGTTGGGGTCGAGGCAAAGGAACGCACCCGCGCACCTCTCCCGCTCCTCCACGCCCTTTACCTGCATTCCTGAGTTTCCGGTTCTTGAAGACCGAGATGATGACCAACAGGTTCCCCACGAGGTCCACCACGGTCGTGAAGATCAGCACGCCGGACAGCGCCGTCACCACCCAGCCCGGGCGCGGCGGGTTCGCTCCGGCCGCTGCCGCCTCCCCTCCTGCTGCCCCCGCGGCGGCGGCCAAGGCTGCC